CTTTTCTTTCCTCCCTCTATTTGACTCTCTATAAGACAGACATCTCTCTAAGACGGACAGCGAGTGCCGGTCCCATTCCACGTGAGAGATAACCCACACCACAGAGGTCTACCTCTCACTCTCTTCTCGAACAGCAGTGTGGGTTCTTTTTGCGCTCCCTTCGAATTCTTAGGGAAGAGTGAATGAGACAAAACCAATGGATTAACATCACCGCCCACTGACGTGATTATCAGGTCATCTATACTGAGACAAGATCTTAGATAACAACCAGCACGATCTTATCAGTTTTTTGAAGGCCCTGGTTGGTGTTGGGCTTGAACGGCGGGTTTAAACCTAGTTGGCAGAACGCCACCCTTCTAACAAGCCAAACCAAGCGGGGGTACAATTAAAAAATGGTAAACGTCCAGAGTGCAAACATTTCCTTCTTCTCTAGGAAATAGCTTATATCAAAGGAATAGGAATGTTTGTGTTTGAGCAGTGCATGTACCTTGTCTGGTTTGACCGGTGTGATCTTCCCAGTTGCTGAACAGCTTTGTCAGCACTCCAAGGCAACTCAATGGTCACGTGAACACGGCGGCACTGATTGGCTGCTCGGAGATCCGCGTGTAACGAGATACCTGTGTAATTCAATGAGTCTTATAAATGACATCACACAGAATACAGTCGATGTACCAGGTGGTATACAACCCCAAGTAAATTATCGTCTTGTCTTGTCTTGTTACTTATACACGGTATTTATTGCGCTTCCTTTTACCCGAGGAAAACTCTTTTATTCCTGCTTGAGTAGAATTTCAAGTCGAGAAACATCACGCTGAAGTTCGAGTTTATGCACGAAATTCCAAGCAATGGCAACTCAGTTGAATGCTAACAGGCATTGACCAGCGATTCTTTTTACTTTTGACTAATTTTCCAGACTTTACCTCAATTTTCAAGACTTTTTGCAGGTCTGGAAAATTGCTGGGCAAATTTCAAGAATTCAAGACTCTGTACGAACCCTGAAAAGAACCAAGATGCAAAGGCAACATACCAGTGCTGGTGGCATCAGATATGATGGCAACAAGTTTTGTTCCATTCATTAAACTGTTCCTCTGTGATACAATGCAATCGAAAAAAACAACGTTTAATGTTCAGTTATGGTTATACTCAAACAACTCTCTAAAAACTCTGGTATTTAAAGAGGCAATCCTTGAGCTTCAAGCAATTGCTTTATGCGGACTTAGTTGTCATAGCGAAAGCGAAAAATACTGGGGAATGAAACGAAGATCCAAAACCGGATTGCTACCTGAATTTAAGGCATAAGAGTCTTATTCAGATTTAGAGTAAGACTTAAAGGTTGGACTACACTTGAAAACTTGTAATCCCAGGAAAAACTAACAAACGCAAGCACTAAGCTGTCTTTCTCGCGCTGAAACGACGGTCCTGTTTTTAAATGTAAGGGACAAAGGTAGAGTTCATCCTCGGAGACCCAGGGGCAGTCAGTCAGGTCGGCAAAAACGGTGCGACGAGTCGTGCGGCGAAAGTTTTCGACCTGGCTGCCTGCTCCAGGGTCTTGGCCGAGGATGACGTCTATGCTGATCACTGTAATTACCGACTGTTAATAGCATTTTCCACCATTTTATTCGGAACACGGCGCAAGATTGAGTTCTGATGACTTTGCTCACCTCTTGAATATTCAAACTATCCACATCGCTGCTGTCTGATTCTCGAGCCTCGTAATGAGGTTGAGGCTGCTTGTCAGTTTTTACCACGCGACCACGCCTGCCTGTCATTTCTGCTACTTTTCCGGGTCCTCCGAGTCACAAAGTCACAAAGGTACGAAGGTGAAGTCTGCGTTCGAGCCAGGTAGCCCATTTGGCGGATCCCTTCCACCCCCACCCAGGATTAAATCTTTTGGTACCCAAATTCATACACCCGGGTGGCGTGAGACAGTGTATGGTAGTCCATAACAGGATCCCTCCCACCTTCACCCAGGATTAAATCTTTTGGTACACAAATTTATACACCTGGGTGGAGTGAGACAGTGCATGGTAGTCAATAACAGGATCCCTCCCACCTCCACCCAGGATTAAATCTTTTGGTACCCATTTATACACCTGGGTGGAGTGAGACAGTGCATGGTAGTCAATAACAGGATCCCTCCCACCTCCACCCAGGATTAAATCTTTTGGTACCCAAATTTATACACCTGAGTGGAGTGAGACAGTGCATGGTAGTCCATAACAGGATCCTTTCCATCCCCACCCAGGATTAATCCCAAAAATAATGCGGCAAATTTGTTATTTAAGAATATTTTTTATAGCACTGAAACTAGTTTCTGTCGTCTGTTGCAACGGATGGCAAGAATGGACATGGATTTAAACTTGGAAACGTTCTACCAAATTGTTCAAGTTTTAATACTATGCCTGTAATAATCACCCAAAAAAATAGTGGTTAGTGCTCCATGATTAAAAATTTGTTTGCTATTTTCTGTATAACTCCTCAGGAGCATTTTGTATTTAGGTTAAGGTACTAAGTAGGGACTCTTGCACAGCATTGACCTAAAACAGCAATAGCTCATCCTAGTGAGACAGGCTCTTTAAAAGGGTTTTAAAGAATATAACATTGATACAAACCTGATTGGGAGATTAATTTTCTTGACAAAACCTTGTAGAAGATTTTTAGCCTGAACACTCCACTGATCTTCAACAACATCGCCATTCTACACAAAGAACGTAATAGCCTTGATTTCTCTCTTTTTTAAAAAAATTTCCTTAACTTCACATTATCCGAAACAAAAATAAGGCCGGGAAAGTGTGTAAACAAGACTGTTGGACTGGACTTCCGTGGCTTATGAACAATAGGGAGTTTAAGATACGGCGACTACGGACTACGGCTACGGATAAACATGCTACTGCGCATGATAAAAACCACGTGACTGTTCATTTTTCCCGCGTAGCCCTGCGGCTACGGTAAGTTGTTGAGCTGTTTCGCGTAGTCGGGACTACGGAGGACATTTTGCTCGTACTTTGCCGTCTCGGTAATTCAAGAACCTCGTCTTTTCGTAAAAAAGTTTTCAATTCACCTGCTTTAAGTGAGAGGGAAGCAAAATATGTAAGTTGTGTCTAATTTCTGCTCAGATTTACGCTTTTAATCCACTGTTGTGACTACATTTTTATCTAGCTAAGCTCATATTTAAATAAGCTTCAGATTGACGGCCGAGGAGAAGAGAAATCATGCAGGTAATTTACTTTCTCTTCGCACTTGAAAAGTTTCAATGTTTGTTCGAACTGATTAGTGTGTCTTTCTACTTGTGTAACCTTTGTTTATGCGAGTTTTTGTATCGCATTTGCTGAATGAAAATGATGTAAACATCTTCTAGACAATCGAAACTCGGCATTTCAATACTTCAAACTAAATCAAATCAGTAGTCGGAGAAATCCACCTTCTAAATCTAATAAATGTGCTATTACTATTTCTGTCTANAGAATTTGTTCATTGTTCTAAAGATAAGATCACATGCAAAAGTGACTTGCATTTTTGTGAACTGTGATGAAAACAAGAAAATCTTTGCGTGTTGTTTCCCACTCCGCCTCTTCTCTCGTAGTCTACTGTCTGTAGTGCAATCTTAACGTTCTGTATTTGCACGACTCAACCCAGTGCTACAAACGAAGGACAACGCTCGTCCAGCCGTAGTTCGTAGTCCGTAGTCTCCGTATCTTAAACTCCCTAATAACAGGAGAAGTACCATCAAATCTTGAAATGTGGAAGGCAGAAAGTGTGGCCTGCAGAGCAAACATTTTTTAAACTAAAGCCTCGACGTACAAATGTTTATTGATCGCGTCCGTCATCTTGAATCATTTTTTCACAGACGCCAACTGAACAGGTGACTGAACTCTCTGTCAGTTTCAATATCCCAGATGGCGGGAGAACAGTCACGCTACAAAATACGCCTGCTTTGCAGGTTACAGAAAGTGTATTAAGTAATGTTGAGTATAGAGTGGATTTTCAAAATTATCCATTCCTTGTGTGATGTACCATCCTTGAGATTAGCCTGCAAAGCTGGTGGAATCAGAGCGCAGGAGTGCTTTTCAGCGGCGCTGAAGTCGCAAGGGGAAAGAGCAGGGCTGTAATTGAGGGTCCGGGACCGGGAATTTCCCCTGGGAACTTTGAGTAAGGCCCCCGGCTACTTACATAGGAAATAGAAGAAAAAATGAAGATAAAGAACTTCCCAGCTGTAAAAATCTCCGTCGAAACTTTGCATAAAAATTATACCCGGCAACTTAAAATCTTAGTGAACGGACCTGAAAGAGAGGTGTCAACTTGACTTCCTCAATCATCTCTGATCTCCAACGCCAGAACAAAAGCGCTCGTGAAATTAAGAACTCGCGTGAGTTAAATCTCACCAGCTAAGAAGGGTTGTTAAGAATTACTCACCGATTTGATTATCTGAGTTGGAAAATACTGCGTGATAAACCTGCTAATGATTTCTTCTGTACTTGAGACAAAGCCATTCAGTACTCCACCACAACGTGATATTTCACTTTCCAAACTTGCCTGACAAATAAAACAATGACTTAAGCCAAACTCTATTCAAGCAACTACTTTCTCATGATCATTAAGCAACGACGACAACGACAGTAACGAAAACGTCTCCTAAAAAGTGAATTCATGCCGTTTCAAAATTCCTCGCTGTTATTCCATGTCGTTGAATTTGTCAAATGTTGGTGAATTTTTCTGGAGTTGAATTCGAAGGGACATATATTTAAGTTTAAAAGAAGTAGTTTAAAAATGGTTCTGTTGTGCTATCGCTCAGTCAATAAATCAAGGCCTTGGTCTGAGACTTCCCTGTAACGACTTCACTCTCGGTTAATAAGTAGTAAGTAAATAGCCGTCGGTCATTGAATAATACCTGAGAAAAATTATCAAAAACGAAATCTAGTGACCTGTGGTCGATCATGCCTTCTGGACAAAATTGATAGTCTTGCTGTAGCCTATCACCTTCCAGACGAACAAAATCCGCCTTGACAGGTGAATTGCTGGACCAACGAAATAACATTATTGCAGGGAAAATACGATGGCCATCATTGATCCAGCGGCCAAATCCAGCAATTTGCAGGTCTTCTTTATAGACGAATTAAGCGTTCTCGATAGAATCCAACCATTTTTGTGGTTTGGCAGACATAAATACTGAGTAGACCGTACATACGTCCTTAAGGATCGTAAAATCCTTGTAGCGATAGCTTTGCATTAAGTGCATCCACTAATAGAACCTACAATGTTACGTGAAACTCTCTATACAATGTGAGGGGAAAACAATTATTTGGTACGTACTTTCTACTAACTTTGCAAGAAGTTCTCAGTGTCTCAAACATTACTTTTTAAACACTAGCTGACCTTGAAATAAAGAAATTTTTATGTTATCAGAAACTGTAGCCCGTTTAGAGTGGATACGAAAAAAAATTGGAGAGAAAGAGAAAACAAACCTCTCCAGTGGACTGGAGACCAATGACCACACAATATCCTGCCTGCAATGCTTGCTGGGCTTCTTCCACTATGGTAGGAACTTTCATACTCATGCTGTAAAAATATTCATATACATTTTATCTACTGTCAGACCCAATATAAGCAAGGTTACAAAGTGAAAATAGGTGCTGGCGCTGAAAAATTAATGGAACATGATACTGGCAAAATTGCCCCATGTGATTATTATACGTTTCTGGGAAACTGCCCACATACCCCTCCCCTGAGCCAACATCAACACTTACTTCTCACTTAAGGCAAAATGTTAGCTTAAGGGAGGAGTAGGTGGGCAGTTTCCAAGAAACGTATAATGATCCGCCCAGGATCAGGTAATCCGGATTTCGGAATCCAGGAAACATTTTCGTGTGATAACCGGAATTCTGGACTTTGGAATCCGTAATCCCGCTAACGATTGGAAATCCCAAATCCAAGTTCCAGTGATAACAAATCCGGAATCCACAGCGTGAAATCCAGAATCAAAGACTAACTTGGATTACGTTACATTGCCACTGTCACGAAGCCGTTCAAAAACTATAATTTCATTCGCTCTACCTGGTACGTAGCTCTACTATTTCAGGGTAAGGGTTTGTTTCCGTTGCTTTTTCATTAATTTCTCAAGCAATCCTGTTAGCTTTTCCAAGAGCTCCCAAGCGGCCCACGAATGTAGCCATTTCCGAATTGCCTCAAGCCTCTATTTCAAAGAAAGGCTAAGTGCGAAGCCATTGATATGAATGTGATTTTTTTTAATTCTCGTACAAATGAAATTCGTTTACTTTTTTTTAGGTTTTGTACTTAACCTCGCTTGGACTTTGGTCGGTGTTGAGTCGAACTGCACTATGGGACTGTTTTGGGGATGACTTTCGACCCAGTTTCCCTCGCAACCTCGTAATATCCAATGAAAAAGCGATAGCGTCTGCAAACAGTCCCACAGTGCCATTGGAGACGATATCGACTTAGTCTTACGTACAACTTTAAATGGGCCACTGAACTAGCATCGAGGACAACATTACTGGAAATAAGAAGGCAAAAATGTTAAGGTGAAACTTAAAGTCGACTATTTAAACGAGGTCTAAAAATCAGAGCGCTTCATTATTCGTTTGTCGGTATTGATTTTAAGTAGATAAACGGTTTTCTAATTTAGGCTGTCGCCTTCTTGTTGATGTGAACAGCAAACGATGCTAAGGTATGAGCGTTAGAACGGTTTTTGTTAAATAACGTTTAAACTTTGTTGTAATATCCGCCCCTAAAGGACCAGAGACGGGATTAAATACTCACCAGAGCTGTTTGAAGAACCGCTGATGACAGGACCAAAAGACTGACCACACCCTTGGTGTAGAAGAGGTGGTGCGACCAATGGCAAATTCTA